CATGTAGCAGAATACATTTTGGTCTAAATTTATAACCAACTTTGAGTTTACAATATATTTTTTATAGCTGAAAGTAAAAAATATTGTTTTTCTTCAAAATTTTGGGCCTTTTTTTGTTTATAGCGTGAAAAATAAAAAGCGCACAGGTTATCAAATACCACCGAAAGAAAGCTCTATTTGTGTGAAAAAAGGACGTAAATTTCGTTTGGGTGCAGCGTTGCATGACCGCACAATTATCAGTTGAATTAGTGCAGCACCGAGTAGCAAAAAGAGGCCTGGTCATTAAGGGGGGTAAATCCTCAGGAGGTCAAGTGGTTAAAGAAAAAATGGTTTTTGAGTTAATTGTATCTTTGTATAATGAAATAACATATTAAAACAAAAGTTTAAAAACTATCCTTAAGAAAATAAACAAAGAGATGAAAAACAATCTTTACGAAAGTAAACAATTAAATTGTCATTTCTTATGTAATGATTACTACTATTTTTAATGTTCCCTTAAATGTGACAAATACAGTATATACTGTATATACGTTGTGAACAATTGAATGGTCTATGAAAGATCAGGATTGTGCATCTAAATCTCCCTTTTCTATGATGCCTGATTGTGCTCCAGAGGCTACCAACAGACAATGAGGGGGTATCATTGTTTTAACCCCATTTTTGCTGACAATCGTGCTGCAACCACTGACTGGAATGTGTAGCATTTGGCGTGATTGTTGCCCGCTGATCGCTACATGTGGGATCAAGTTAGCCGCAGTCGTTAGGTGAAGCATTGCGGACGCAGCATGCAAACATCCCTTTTTGCTGCCTATTGCAGTTTAAGAGGGGGCGGTTGGTAGACCACAAAAATTAGGCTCAATCTCACATTTTTTTGTCCCCCTCCCCAACTGCAAGTCTAAACGAGTTCTAAGAATGAACATGAAGAGACACAATTCCTTCCCTCTGTCATAGCAGAGTTTGGACCATCTTATTTAGGTCTGGTTCACACTAGTGCAGGGGCGGATTGACCATTTGGAAACTCAGGCACTGCCCGAGGGCCCGGGGTCAGTAGGGGGCCCCATGAGATACCCCTGGTACCTTTTTCATAGGCTTTTTTGAGTTTGGGCAAGGACACAGGGGCCCCATGATACCCTATTGCCAGGGGGCCCCATGAGTTGTCAGTCCGCCCCTGCACTAGTGTGATTTCAGATGCGACTCAAGTCACACAGAATCACAGGACAAGGGAAATCACATTACTTTCAATGGTGTCCGTTCACATGAGAGCGATTTTGGAAAAGGTTCCTGTACTACTTGCAATTCCAGTGCTGTGTGATTCCATTGTGATCTTGGCCTCATAGAATATACAAACATTATCAAAGTTGCATCCAAGTAGCACAACATTATCGCACTGAAATTCAGATCAAAATCTTATCACAGCAGTGTGAACCTAGCCTTAGTCAGTTTACAAAGTCTATCAACAAGCATGGAGATCAGGATTGCCAACCGTCCGTAAATTTATTGTCAGTTTGTAAAAATCGTCAGGTTTTTACCATGTCCGTAAAAAAGTCTGTTAGAGACAGCGGCTTTCCTGCTTCTGACATTTGACAGTCTTCCATGAGCATGCACGTTGCGACATCAAATCGGGTCAGCGCATGCGCAGTGGGCATTTTTGTAGCATCATCACGCATGGTGCTCGGCGTGCATAAAACTGCATGCCTGCTTCCCGCCTGCTGCCATTTGCATCTGGACTCCAATGTGGAAAGTCTACCCGGCCACTCATTCATTCAGCACACTGCCCTGCCATACTCTGCTTGTTTCACCTGCCACAGGCCGCATAGACTCTGTAATGTATTATACAATTGGAAATTGTGGTATCAATCATCTGCAAGACTGTGCAAACAGTGTACATGCCAGGCCCCACTGCCACCACCAGACCCATATGTATTGGTTGGAATAGGAATTCAAATGTGTGCAAAACAGTGCAAACTTGTGCTGCTGATGATGGTATGTGAGTCAAAAACTGTGAATGTAACTGTAGCAATCTTGCACTCAGATATGGACGCCGTGCCACCATTTTGTCAAGGCACATCCAATTTGATAAGAGCATACATTTCTCCCTCAATCCTTCATTCCCTACTCCCTCCCTTACTGAGAGGCACAGGGACATATGTGTTAAAAGTTGCTGGCAGGCTAGAACAGCAGGGGGCCCAGCGCTATAAAGCCCCCCCCCCCCCCCCCCCCAGGAGCAACAGACGCTCAGTCTCAAGGCCTGGGAAAACTCACCCCTCCTAATCAAGATAAGGCAGCTTTTCCCAGACTTGAAAGAAATCGGAACTTCATAAAACCTACCAGCCAGGTGACAGAAGTTAATTGAACATTCCTCAGGTCAGCTGTCACCTATGTTTCATATCATGGATTATGAAGCTGTTGGTTTTTAATTCAGAGTCCGCCGACATCCAGCCCAAAACAGGGTATTGGCCAATCTCAGGGGGATTTTAAAAAAGACAGGCTGGCAGCCTAAGGTAAGCTAAACACATCTCCAGATCTTAACATCGTAACAGAGGAGATCAAAGACCCTTCCTGCTCTGCAACTTGGATCTGCTTACAAGCCAAGGCATATTGGCAAGTAACTTAACCCTGTAACTTCCTTCCTATTATCTCTTTGCTGTACCTTTATATGTGTATATATAAATATATATCTTAGTTACATTTTTTTTCTGTAAACATTTTATTGCACCTGTTTGACTCTTTTAGTAATAAATCTTTCTTTCTGAAAGTGTTAAACTGTTTCTAAGTGCTTACTTGCAATTCACGAATTCCTGCCTTTGAAGAGACGCTACTGTTTGTTATAATCTCTGTATAACAGGCCTGCAGACCGTGTTATATAGATCAATATTTCAATCATTATCGTGTATATTTGATAACGGGAGTTTCCCAGTCTCCGACAAAAGTGGTGGTGGCAGTAGAGGGTTAGTTGCGTAATTAACCCCACCCAGTAACAAGCGCATTTAGGCTGCAGGCACCGATTGTAGCCCATTAGCTGGACAATCGCTGTGCAGGTGCAGGGTGCAGCTGGGTGTGGCCTTGTTACGCGCGTCACACCGCGGTTTTAGATCGGCCGGTCCTTTGGTTACGAGTTTGGTGAGAAGGTCTGGGGTCTGACGCCGCGGGTCTGACGTATTATTGTTGGTCGCGGTTGTGCGATTGTCGCGTGTTGAGGGTGGCGATCGGGCGACCGTGACAGTAACCACTTCCCCTCCAGAGAATTTACCTCCCTTCCTGACCAAGCCATTTTTTTGCATTACCTTAACTCATGCAGCGCTGCACCCAAATTAAACTTATTTCTTTTTTTCCAGCAAATAGAGATTTCTTTGGTGGTATTTGATCACCTGTGCATTTTTCATTTTCTGCGCTATAAAAAAAAGTGACAAATTTTGCGAAAAACCCCCCAATATTTTTTGACTTTTTGCTATTTAACATGTCCAGTAAAAAAATTTTAAAAATCAAATTTCTTCATAATTTTAGACCAAAATGTATTCTGCTGTCTTTGTCTGTCTGATGTCTTTGCTATTGCTAAAAACAATCCCAATATGTGTAAATTAATTGGTTTATGTGAAAGTTATAAAAATGGCGCTATAGATACTGGAATTTGTTTTTTTTAATACTAGTAATGGCGGCGATCAGAAATTTATAGCAGGACTGCGGCGGGCATTCTGACACTGGGGGGGAACTGACTTTCTGTCACTGACATCCCCAGTGACACCAATACAGTGATCAGTGCTAATAAAAAGCACGGACACTGTACTAATGACACTGGGCAGGATGGGGGTTAACATCTGGGGCGATCAAAGGGTTAACCGTGTGCCGTGTGTGTGCTTTACTTTGTAAGCACATTGCTTTGTATGGCTCTGATATGCAGAGCCATACAAAGCAGTGTGCAGGAGCTGACAGGGGAGAGATCTGTATTGTTTACATGTAGGTCTCTCCCCAGTCAGAGATACATGGCGATCGCTGGGTGCCAGCGGGGAATCACCGCCCGGGACCCGGTGATCGGCAGGTGATACTGCCAATGGCAGCATGGGGGAGGGCGCATGTGCGGCTTTCCATCTAGCTGATATAATTTCTCAATTCCTAGGGTTACCATATATGAAGATGGGTTAGCCCACTAGTTTGTTCTTTTCCTTTACACCTTTATAAGGTTAATAGAAGTGCCCATGGGCACAGGTCTCCTCCTGAGGCTGGACAGTGAAAGAGAAAGTGAAACTGCATTACAGAAAAGACTGTACTGTACTGTGGCAAAGCTATGTAAATTTCAGGACTGGATGGACAAAAATACAAATCCTTGTGCAAGTAAAACAGAACACATGTATATGTATTTCATCTGAGTATATAGCTGTTTGCCTGGAGTTCAATTTTATATTATAATGCATTGTGCTAAAGTTAGAACAAACTGGCAGAATAGAACTATGGTCCTGGTTCCATGCAGGTGCAGTCTGGGCGATTGTCACATGCAAATGCACTGTTTTTGTTCTCTCTTACATCATGAATGCAGTTTATGTATAACATCCTGAGCTGATAAAGGTAAGTACTGACAGTGGTCTCTAGATGGCAGAAAAAGTATCTGTTTTCTCTTGTATTTTTTTGGTGTGATAACAAACATATAGAGATGAGTAGGAGGAGATCTGAACGGCTTTTCATATGTATTCCATGAGATGGTATTTAAGACCCCAATCAGTACATTTGTATCAGCCGCACCTTTACGCATTCATTTCCATCAGTGATATGTACAATGCCCTTTCCTTAGCTGTTTGGTACAGATATTTCTAATTTGGTACCATGCAAGTAAGTATCTATTACAATTTCCAGTTAAAAATCTGTTACTCAATATTTAAATTATATACTTAGAACACATATTTGTGTTGTTTGTTTGTTTTATTATGAATATGCTGTTTTATTTAAAATTATTCTCTTCTTCCACAGGTGCCGTCAATGGGAACTCTATACAATCAGATCTGGCACACATGTACTGTGACGTTGGGAAGACTGTGACATTGAGGTGTAAGTATACCACCAGTAGCTATCAACCTTATCTGTTCTGGTATAGACAGTATGCCAACCAGATGCAGTATATACTTTACCGTGGAGCTGGAAGTGTGGCTTCTATGGCACATGATGGAAATTTCAAGAGTGGAAAATTTAAATCTGAGACCAGCGAATCCATTACCAGCTTAACTATATATGACATGACTGTGTCTGATTCTGCTGTGTACTTCTGTGCTCTCAGAGATGGTGCACAGTGTGACACATACATTGTAGACCCATCAATAAACCTCCTCCTCACTACCACTCTTCCACCAGCAGATGGCAGAATCTTATATAGTTCCATCAATATAAAACATCCTCCTCCCTACCACCCTTCCACCAGCAGATGGCAGAATCCAACTCATTCTAAAAGGTTCACATTTATACCTTTACATATGGCTCTTGAAAAAAATTCCTGCTTGCAGCAATGTTTGGTTTGTTTTTAAGCCAAATAGCATTTTCTTTATTGATGAATACCTCACCTGCACCTAGGAACTGTACTTGAATCAGCTCCACCAGATCATCCCTCACAGCTATCACCTTTTGTATCATCTCCCCCTTCCTTTAGATTGTAAGCTCCACGAGCCGGGCCCTCCTATTCCTTCTGTACTGAAATGTATTGTAATTGTACTGTCTCCCTTATATTGAAAAAGCGCTGTGCAAACTGTTGGCACTATATAAATCCTGTATAATAATATTAACTAGAAAAGCTACAATTTCTGGAGAAATTGTGTGAAGTGGTCTTGCCTCCACCAGTAGTCTACAACTGGAGTGGGCGGAGTAACTGGGTGGAGTGGCTTGAGCTGGGCGGCGTGAGTTGCAAACAAATGGTCATATTGTGAAAACTATCAGGACTATGGCTTAGCCGTGGACATTTTTTGTGGCAGCAGGGATAGCTGAACGTTTTGATATAAGATTTGTGTAGGTGGGCTTGAAAATGAGGGAATGATGGCAGTTTAGAAATCATGTCCTGATTTTTTAGCTCACACTCTAGCTTTTGTCAGCTCCCAATTTCACCACAAAAACGCCGATATTTCGTGAACCATTCGGCAAAACGTTCCACAAAGTAATAGCACACCAATGGGGAACAATCCGCAAGTTTCGGTATATTACAGTCTATGTAGTGTAAAAACTGTGGGAGGAGTTAGGGTGGTAAATTTGGCTATAATAATAAGAATATATACGTGAGATAACAGTAAGTGGTCTTGCCATGCAAGAACACGTAATAACTAGAAAAGCTACAATTTCTGGGGAAATTGTGTGAAGTGTTCTTGCCTCCACCAGTAGTCTACAACTGGAGTGGGCGGAGTAACTGGGTGGAGTGGCTTGAGTAACTGTTGTGTGGTTGGAGTGGCTGGAGTAACTGTGAAAAGGTTGGACTGGGCAGAGTAACTTTATGGAGTGGGCAGAGTAACTGTGTGGAGTGTTTAGAGTGAGTAAAGATAGTAAAACATTACACTAACTAATTGATTGATCAAATTTAAAAAGTGCACATGGCAAGCCTGATAGAGTGAGAAATGCATTTCAACTTTTAATTATTTATATAGCACATTTAATTGCAATGTTGTTGCCCAAAGTGCTTCACAGTTACATTAAAACATACATTTTATAAAAACATTAGCAGCATTATCACCTCAAATACTCTCTACTGTAGAAAACTTATTTCCAAACTTTTAACCAGAAGGTGGCCAAACTGTCACGAATTCAAAATTAGATTTCAAATAGGGCAGAGAAGAGCGGTTAAAAACAAACTGCTCCAAATTGCTCACTTCACTGGTGTCTTCAAATGGTCGTAGTTTTAAAAATTATAAATCCTACAGCGAAGAGCTTTATATTGTGAGAATCACAAGACCCAGACCTACATTTTGATGCATAGTACATTTCTGAAATATTAAAAATGAAGGCACAGTCGCAGTTTAGAAATTTCCCTTCAAATTTGAGGTGGCTAGAGTGGAGTTTCAATGAATGTCAATGGGCGGCGTGAGTTGCAAACAAATGGTCATATTGTGAAAACTATCAGGACTATGGCTTAGCTGTGGACATTTTTAGTGGGAGCAGGGATAGCTGAACGTTTTGATATAAGGTTTGTGTAGGTGGGCTTGAAAATGAGGGAGTGATGGCAGTTTAGAATTCATGTCCTGATTTTTCAGCTCACACTCTAGCTTTTGTCAGCTCGCACTCTAGTTTTGAACATTCTGCCATTCATTCCTATGGGACCAATTTCACCACAAAAACGCTGATATTTCGTGAACCATTTGGCGAAACGTTCCACAAAGTAACAGCACACCAATCGGGAACAATCCGCACGTTTCGGTATATTACTGTCTATGTAGTGTAAAAACTGTGGAAGGAGTTAGGGTGGTAAATTTGACTATAATAATAAGAATATATATGTGATATAACAGTAAGTGGTCTTTCCATGCAAGAACACTTAATAATAGAAACTGAGGTAAAACACAGCTTAAATATGCCATGCTACATGGAAAAGGCAGAAATCTAAATGCAGCCTGAAACCTTTATCTAGGGGAAACAAACAGCAATAGAAAATTGCTAGTTGTTTTTAACACTTTCATACGGTATACAAAACTAGAAAACAAGCTTTGGCTTTTGAGATAATTAAATTGAGAAAATTCAAAGAAGTAATTATCATACTGGTTTCATAGAGCAGAGGGTATAGCATTTTATACTAACCAAAAGCGCCTGCAATTGGCATGTGAGCATCCGAACTGGACCCCAAAGCATTGGAAGAACGTGGCCTGGTCTGATGAATTCAAGAATGGTTTAAGGAACACAACAGTGAGTTTGAGGTGTTGACTTGGCCTCCAAATTCTTCAGATCACAATGCAATCAAGTATCTGTGATATGTCCTGGAAAATAAAGTCTGATCCATGAAGGCATCACCGTGCAACTTACAGGACAAGAATCTGCAGCTGACACTTTGGTGCCACAAAATACCTTCAGAGTCCATGCCTCAACAGGTTATGGTTGGTCCTCATAATGTCATGGTTGACTGATGTATAAACATATTATGAGCTATCTTCAGGTATAATTTTTTTTTTGTAACAGTTGCGTTTATTGAAATCGTACAAGAGTATAAACAAACCAAGGTACATGAGAACATTCCAGGTATAATTTAGAATAATGAGCTACCAGCTAGCCAGCCTTAAGCTAGAAGTTTCCAATTTTCCTGTGTATTCTTGTCAGTATTAACTCCACTACTGCAAGACATTATTATTCATTTTTAGTATTCAAAATAACCATTTGGAAACTCGGACATTGCCCGAGGGCCTGGGAGTCAGTATGGGGCCCCATGAGATCCCCTGGTACCTTTTTTCATAGGCTTTTTTGAGTTTGGGCAAGGACACAGGGGCCCCATGATCCCCTATTGCCCGGGGGCCCCATGAGTTGTCAGTCCGCCCCTGTCCTGAGCCTGGGTTCACATATGTGTAGTGCGCTATATCGCATGTGATTCACACAGAAACCGCACCACATTCTTGTGCAAATCACATGTAATTTGTGTGCGGTGCAATTGGAGCCATTCATTTTGTATGGCTCTATTCGCACCACAACAGCACCAAACACATGCAGGACCCTTTTTTGGGTCCGCACTAGAATCGGATCGCATAATAGGTATTCACACCTATGCAAACCGATTCTGCACATCGCACCATGTTTTGCAGACCGCTGTCAGGGTGTTGTTAACTTAACATACACACCCGCAGCGGTTTGCATGAATGGGGTGCGATTCTAATGCGGTGCAGAATTCGCACTGAAAACGTTGCAAATTCCGCACCACATCAGTGTGAACCAGTGCTTAGTGTTTGAACATGAATATATTACAATGCAACATAGGAAAAGGGTAAGAATAAAAACTCATAATGGAAACAAGTCCATAAACATGACAGTAGAAGAGAAGCGAGCCCAGTCAAAATGGGCTTACAATGAGGAGTGTAGATGAGAATCTACCCCTATGCTTGTAAATATAAAAGTCTGATCACCCTTCCAAAACATTCTCCAATGCCAACTGTACTTAAAGCAGACGTGTAGTATCTTTAACCCCACCAGGGGCGGACTGGCCATTTGGAAACTCGGGCACTGCCCGAGGGCCCGGGTCAGTAGGGGGCCCCATGAGATGCCCCTGGTACCTTTTTCATAGGCTTTTTTGAGTTTGGGCAAGGACACAGGGGCCCCATGATCCCCTATTGCCTGGGGCCACCATGAGTTATCAGTCCGCCCCTGAACCCCACCGTATATAAGAGCTTAGAAAAGAACAACAAGAGGGCACACACAACTCATGCATTACCATGGTATAAAATGTATTCATCTAAAAAGGTAGCAAATAGATACTGTGGGAACTAGCACCAAGGGTACAGCTTTTGAGGCACACAGTCACTCACTTCCTTCTTTTTTAAAGGCCATTTTTGTCCAATTTTATTTAAAAGAAAGTTCCATACAACATAGGTTTTCCCACACAGGGGTATCCACCAACAATGCAAACGAAAACAAAGATTCAGCCTCCTGGCTTTCTTTAGCAGCATTGCTGCTCAGGCTTCATGCCTCAGTCCTCTTGACCATTCATATGCAACACACTACACATGGGTTAGAGCCCTTTCCCAGCACTCCTGTTTCTCCAGCCCGCAGGCTTTGGCTTTGTCTGCTCTGTCAGACTATACTGTGCCACCATGCACACTTGTGGCTGCTCCCTTGCACCCACATGGACTCCTCGGGAGGGTGAGCCCAGAACCGTGGTCCTGACACTAGAAGAAGCCCACACACACACCTGACCAATCAGTCTCCTGGCCATTGCCAAAACCTGGTCTGAGGATTGGAGATTTCATCCCTCCCATATCACTTTGAAATATCCAGGCTCCAGGTCCCAAAATGGACTTTACAAATAAATGAGGAAAGTGAAAAGCCACTTTCCTCTGTATTAAACAAGTACCCTGGAGCCCTTCAACCTGCCTTGTTGAGAATCCCAGGTGAAATATCCTTTCTACACTGTGACAGGTTACCACACTACTCACAAACAAACAGCATGATAGGCTCATAAGAAAATAGCTTGAGTATGGGATGCCTGGGTTCCTTCCTAGACTGACCAGCTGAAAGAGCTAACACGTTTTGGGAGCTGACCTCCCTTCTTCAGAGCTGAAAAGGGAGGTCAGCTGCCAAAACGTGTTAGCTCTTTCAACTGGTCAGTTCTAGGAAGGAACCCAGGCATCCCATACTCAAGCTATTTTCTTATGAGCCTATCATGCTGTTTGTGAGTATCCATTTGCTACCTTTTAGATTAATACATTTTATACCACGGTAATGCACAAGGAGTGTGAGCCCTCTTGTGTGTTCTTTGTAGTGTTTTAAAGATTCCCCGATTTGTGGAGGGCTGCACCTGACCGACTGGCTTACACCATGGAACATGTGGAGCGTCCTGATTTGAGCGCTGATGTGA